TTCACTGGCTGAGACATGAGAGCACTGACAGAGAGGAGAGAGGAGTGGGGGGCTGCCGAGGGTCCCTGAGGGATGGTGCTTTCCTCTCCAGCCTGCCCTCTCCCTGCCATGGAAGACCCTCTGGCAGGGGTCAGAGCAGGGCCAGAGCAGGCCAGGGCACAGGAGCAGAGGGCAAGGCACAAAAGAGAGCAAAGACCACATTTACCTCGCAAAAGGGGCCCAAAGTGCGCCAGACCTAGGGAGAAAGAAAGGAGGGGATGGAGAGAGTAGGGGAACCAGAGAGCCATGGGGCAGAGAGAGGAGAGGCAAACCCACAGAGACATGTGTCTTTGAGGGCAGGGGTCCGTGGGGGTGAGGGGAACGGGCAGAGCCAGCCCTGCTGAGAGTGTGCCACATGGGCAGAACCTGCTCTGGAGACCAGGGGAACCCCATGGTCTGGCTGTGAGCTTGGCTCCAAGGCCAAGGGCAAGCAGGGACCAGGATGGTGGAGCTGGGATGAGCCCAGGGGTGCTGCCTTGCTGCCAGGCCTGGCACAAGGCGAGCTGAGCCGTGTCCATCCATGGGAGCAGCAGCTCTCTGCACACTCCCAGCTCCCAGGGGCAGCAGCACACCCCTACAGGGGAAACAGCCCTGTCCCTGTGTGTTTGGGTGCTGGGCAGGGTAACAGCCCAGAGAAACCCACTGAGGTCTGTTACACACCTCAAGCTCCACTATAATCCTATCCCATTCAGCTTGGAGAGCATCCCTGCTCCCAGAGGCTGGAAGGCACCCAGCTCCTGAGGATACAGGCACAAATTCCTCCATGGCATCAGGTTTATACCAACATCAGCTTTCACCTCTGCCAAAGTGAGATCCCCAAGTCACCCCCAGCCCAGGAGAGCTCTGCCCACAGCAGGATGTGTGGGAAGGGTCTCCCTGCGCAGAGCACTGGGAGCTAAAGCCGTTCCTTTGTCAGTGCCACACTCCTGGCTCTGGGCAGCAGAGGACAGGAACCTCTTGGGGAGCCAGGACAAAGCTCCATGGTGACAGGGACCTTCTGTGCACAACCAGCCCCCACCAAAGTGACAGAGACCAGACTGCTCCAGGCAGTCCCTCCTGCTTGAGCAAAACCAACCAGCTCTGCCACAGCACCACGACACATCTGTCCCCTCACCAACTCATGCTGCTCCTGCATCTGGGAGATCTTCTGGCCATACTTGTGGTCCACCTGTTTCAGCTCTGCCACCACAGCCTCACACTTCTCACTCAGCACCTTCTTGTCATCGAGGAGCTGGGCAGGGTGAGTACACGGCCTCAGACAGGGCACAGCCACCTCAGACTCTGCCCTCAGAAGTCAGGTGAGGGATTACCTGGTCGATGAAGGCCAGGTGTCTCTGGATAGCTGCCTCATACTGCTCCCTCTGCAGCCTGAGCTGGTGGCTGAGCTCCTTCTCGGTCTGTTTGACGTGTCGGTCAGTCAGCTCACGCTGCTGAGTCTGTGGGTGCAGGGATGAAACAGCCATGAGACATCAGAGGGACAGGACAAGGAGGGACAGAGCCAGACCAATCCCTGGTGCTCCCAACCCTGGCAGCAGGATCACCCAAGCCCCCTGGGCCCGACGAGAAGGGAGTTCAGCCCAGGTCCTGACTAGATGGTCCTTAAGGTCCCTTCCAACCCAAACAACAAGTGCAGGAAACCAGGGGATAGCCCAGCTCACAGCCCTGATCTACTGCTTCCAAGCCACAGTCCCCAGACCCTGAGGCTCCTGGCCTGTGCTCCCCAGCAGGGTCACCCACCAGGGCAGTCTGCAGCAGGCTCACAGCTCTCTTCTTCTCCTCCACTTCCAGCTTCAGCCTCATCATGGAGCTCGTCACCTCTGTGACAACAGCCGAGGCCTGCTCCAAGTGAGTCAGCTCCTCCTCTGAGAGGAGACCCTGCCAGTGGGAAAACAACACCAAAAGGTGGGGGAACCACCTGGAACCAGGACAGGGAGATAGGAGATAATTCCCACCAGGGTCCTGCACCACCTCTCCAGCACAGACAGACTCACCTCCCCCTGCGTGGCTGAGCCAGCTGACCTGGGCCTCTCCTGCTCTGACTTCTCCATCTCATCCAAGAAACTAATGATGCTTTGGAGTTTGGCCTCTGAGAGCAGGGCCCCATCCTCAGGGACCCCCAGCGAGTGGTTCAGCTTCCCAAACTTCTCCAAGTTGTCAGCAGTCAGGGAATTGGAGCTGGGCTCCTGCGGGAATTCACCGTGGTCAGTGAGCACCCAGGGGTGGGTCGGGAGAAGAGGTGTTGCTCTCATCACTGGAGCCCAGTTCTCCCACTGCATCCCAGTAACCAGCCTCATCCTCTGAGCTCATCCCAACACAGCCTTTGCATGGATTTGCTGTTTGTTCCTTATGGATGCCCAAGTCCTGGATGCACCAAACCATTTCTCCACTGCCTCCAAGCTCACTCTTCAATATCCAAACTTCCCCTTCCAAACTCCTCCATCACAACCTCCAAACTCTTACATCAACCCTTCCAAGCTCCCCAGCCACCTTCCCCAGCAGTGTTCCAGCTGTTTCTCACCAGGCAGTCATCACTGTCCAAGGATGAACACTCTCACCCCTCAGCTTACCCTGTCCACCCATGCATATCTGTCCTTCCTGAAGAGCTTGGGTGGGGGCAGCAGTTCTGGTTCTTCCTCCAGCAGCCTAAGCGTGTCCAGCAGCTCATTGAGGGTGACCTTGGATGGAGCCCTGCTGCCAGCAGTCACTGCTGTCTCCAGGTCCTCATTACGTGTCTCTCTGGGGCTCACATCCTGAGGGAAAAGATATGCCTTGCAGTGAGAGAGTTTTCTGGATGTCCAAAGCCACCGTGGCACAGCAGCTCCACAGCACCCCAAGAGGCACAGCCAGACCCACCTGCAGCTTGTCCTCTGCCACAGGGTCCTGTGAGGGCATGGAGCCAAGGGCTGCCAGGCTGCTTCCTTCTGGCTCCATAGCTGCTGAGTGGGAATTGGCCTCTGCAGGAACCAGAATATTCTCAGGCCCTTGCCACAACCAGGCCCTGGGAAGCAGCTCCCCAGAGTGAACAGCTCCGTATCCCCCTCCTTGCTCCCAGAGCGTTAGGGACCGGCTGGAGGGACTCACCAGCATTGTTGGCCTTGGTGAGGCTGCTGGCTGGGCTGACATTCCTGCCCGAGGCAGGTTTGGCACTAGGCTTCTTCCTGGCCACCCTCCTGCTCTCCTTCACCACCACCAGCTTTTCTGCTGCTGAGTGCTTCGTCTCCAAGATCTTCTGGGCCCTTTTCTGCTGCAGCTCCTGCAAGGACAGAGGAGCCATCAGTGTCCTGAAGTTTTGTGAAGGCATTTAAAGCACAAGCACTGTTTGCAAGGCTGTGGCAGCGTTTTGCCATCCTCTAGCTGCTCACTGCTGTGTCTCCCCCAGTCCTCCCCAAAATGGAACATGATTCCAATGAGGGCAAAGAGAATTTGGGGGTTTAAAACATCTCCAGCTCCACTGCCAGCTCCCTGCAGCCTGTGCCAGCCCCATCTGTGCCACCAGCTGCAAGAACAGGGTGATGATGGCACGGTGCTTCCTGCCAGGGGACACAGAGCACTGTTTGGCCCACCCTGCAGGGACCCTGCTCCCAAGGAGGGTCCCATTCCCAAGGCACACTCAACTCATCCTTGGCCATTCCAAGGAGTTTGGAGTCTCCTTGTCTCCAAGTGGTCACCATTTTCCTGAGAACCAGATGGAAACCAGCACTGCCTTCACAAGCTCAGGATGAGCTGCCAAGGCTTGGCAGGAGCACAGCAGGAAACCGCTCTGGCACCTCCATCTCCGGAGGGAACACTCCATTTCCCAGGCTGGCTCTGATCCTGCCTCCTGCCAAGCCCCAGGAGATGCAGAGAGGTCTCTCAATGCCTCACATGATGCCAACAAACTGGTGTCACACAGACCACGAAGGCCCTGCCCTGTGCCCACCTGGATGGCAGCGCGCCGGGCCAGACGTGCCTTCTCCTCTCGGATCTTCCGGCGTTCCTCATCCTTCCTCTCCTGCAAATCCAGGATATTCCCCTCCTCCATCTGCTGCTGACTTTCCTTCGAGGGAGGAGGGTCAAAAATGTTACAGAGAGCTCTCCAGCAGCCACCACTAAGTGAGAAGGGGCACCCACACCTCAGGCCACCCCATATCTAGGTTTTCCACCCCCCCATGCATCCCTCAGAGCAGCTCCACTTTGCAGCAGTTCATTTTCTTCAGATCCTCAATGCAATGATTATTATTATTGTATCATCTGGGTCTGCAACCACTGAGAAGGCTTAAAAATAGATTCTGACAGGCGACAGCGACCGTGCTTGTCGTTATTGGGATAAATAATTGAACACAGAGGAACACAAATAGCTGCGGTGCCACATCACTCTGACAAGCCACCTCATTAGAGATGTGTTAGGATAAGCCAGGGCATCCCTCCTCTGGCCACCAGCACGGCCCAGACTTCAGGAATTCAGGAAGATTTGGGCACAGCTGGAATTCAGGGAGATCTGTGCTCCTACTGTCAGTGTCTGCCTGCTCCCAGTGAGGGGTTGGGGTAGCAGAGCCATGGGGTGCTGAGTCCCTGAGCTCCTGCTGGCACCAAAGTCAGGCGTTCCCTGCACACAGCTGGGACAGACCCTCCTTGGTTTTCTGGACCACGAGGAGCTGCCTGGATTCAAAGCCAGAGCCCCCTCGACTCCCACAGCCTAGGCTTGATGACTTAAGTGTCCCAGATCCTCCCACCAGTGTGGAAAGCAGGACATGGGTGTCAGAGGGGTCCAGGCCACAGGGCAGAGACAGGACTGACCTCCCTTTTGGAAGCCATCAGGCGCCCCAGAGCCGCTGCCGCCGTCCTGTGCCGCTGCGAGTGCCGCCGGTACCAGCGCTGGATGGTGACAGCAGCCAAGTTCACCTGCTGGATGAACCTGTGGAGACAGAGGGTCAGCACAGCCCTGGGGTCTCCCTGGCCAGCACCAACCCCTCCAGCCACAGCAGAGCACAGGTGGCTTGTCCACAGCAACAGCACTTGTGTCCCTTCATCCCCCAAAACAACAAGGCCTTTTCCCAGACTGACTTTGGGGGTGGAACTTGTGCCTTTGATGAGGACACCCCAAAGCAAAGAGCCAAGTCACTGGGAGGTTGAATGAGCCACTAAGAGAGACTGAACTTCCCAGGCTGAAGCTCCACAGGACAAGAACAAGCTCCCCTGGAGCTCTCCACACCACCTGGCACTATCCTCCTGCCTCTCCCTCACCTCTCAGCCTCCTCCTCGGTCACCTCCCTCCTCCGGGACACACTGCTGCTGCTACTGTTGTTGTTGCAGGTCATGATGTTATTGCTGGAGAAATTCTTCTGAGACTTCACGAAGCTGCTGCTGCCTTCACCATCCTCGTTCGAGCTCGCTTTGACGACATTGCTGGGACAGAAGATGCAGCCACTCAGACCCATCCCATGCCACACTGACAAATGACCCTGGGGCCAGCCTGGCCACTGAGCCAGGAGCCACCACACTCACTTGAGGGAACTGGAGGCCTGGTTGGAGCTCTTGGGCGTGGGGCCCTTCTCAGCTGTGCAGTAGTTGTTGTGCACCATGGTGGTGACACAGTTGCCCATTGCACCCTTGTTGCTCCTGGTGTGGAGAGAAGAGGAGCCTCAGGAGCAGCACCAGTACCTTCCCCTCCAAGATGTGCTCTCAGGGCAGTCCCTCCCTACACCTGTCTCACAACCCTCTCTCCTACCTGTTGTTGGCAGTGAAGTTGGCAGCCAGGAGCACAGTAGCTTCCTTCCTCCTCATGCCTGTGGGTGGCTCATGGCCGTGGGAGCCAGAGAGGTCTGGGAATGCTCTGGGCTGGTCATCCTGCCATGGAGTCAGCAGAAATAAGCCCCAAACCACCTCCTCAAATACCACCAGGAGCACAGAGCCAACCTGGCCCACCCACCCCTGAGACCATCATCCTCACCAGGATGTTCCAGGTGGTTTTCTTTTCTGGGGAGGTTTTGCTCAGAGCTGATAGTTTCTTTCTTCCCCCTGAGCTGCTATCAAAGAAGGCCAGGAAGTCTCCTGTCTGCTCTGAGCTGTAACCAGAGCCAGGGAAGGCAGAGAGGAGAGAACAGGGATTTTGGGATAAGTCACAGCCACAGGATACACTCTATGCAGGGCACCCTGACACACTCAGTGTGACACAGGGGAGAAAAGGGCTGGAGAGGCATTACACGGCCATGAAATCTCTGAATGACTCGTGTTTATACAGAGCTTTGGGTTCCAGGGAGGTGTGTGGTGACAGGGATAGGCACAGAGCAGCAGGAGAATGGAAAATCCCAATTTGGAGGGCACAGGGGACAGAGGAAGAATTTCTGTCTTCTCACACAGCCCAGACACAGCCTGGAGGGACTGCTGGATCAGAACAGGCCCATCCCTTGGAATTAAATGGAGTGGGTTTTGTGCAGCCATAGAAATACACCTTATTTCCCCAAATTCCTCCCTGTGAGTGTGCTGTGGCACTGAAGTGGATTTCCCAGAGCAGCTGTTGCTGCCCCATTCCTGGAAGTGTTCCAGGCTAGGTTGAATGGGGCTTGGAGCAACCTGGACCAGTGGGAGGTGTCCTTGCCCATGGCAGGGGGTGGGATGGGATGAGCTTTAAGGTCCTTCCAGCCCAAACCATTCCATGATTCCATGAAATCCTAACCAAGTGACCTCCCCTCCAAAAAAACAACCAAATAAATCCTAGACCTTGGCTCTCCAGGGCCTCCCATAACCCCTGATGTGCATGGCAGAGCTCAGTGGTCATTTTGGAAAGGCTCCAGTTCCCCCACAGGCCAGGCAGGTGGGGCAGAGGAGTGGGATGTCCCTCAGCCCCATCCAGGGTCAGCTGGACACACATCCAGGGCTGGAGCTGTACCTGTGAGCACTGTTCACCCGCTGGTTCACCTGAGTGGTGCTGTTGGACCTGCGCAGGTTGTTCATAGCCCTGGATCCGGCGTCTTCCTGTGGAGCAGAGGGATAAATCCAGCACCTGAGCTCAGCAGGAGCAGGGACAGCCCCTGGTGCTCCCCTCACCCAGCCTGGACACGGAGTTCCCTCCATCCCAGGGCTGCCAAGCTCTCCTTGAGGCAGCAGCAATGACACCTCTCTCTGGCACTGCTGAGCCAGCAGGAACACGTTCCTTAGCGTGAGCTCCCAGGAATGAGGGCACGGGAATGCTGCCAAAGGATTACTCAGCATGGAGCACAGACTCTCTGCTGCTGGATCCTAACAGAGACCAGAGTACCTGGGGCTCATTCTGTCTGTGGAAGCCTGGCACAGCAGGAACAGAGTGTGCTCAGCGAGGGGCAGGTTGGGTGTGAAATCCCAGCAGGAGACACCAGGAACTCAGGAGCTTCCAGATGGAAATTGGTGCAGGGACATGAAGGGCAAAGAAAGGAAAACAGGCAAGCCTGATGCTCCCTGCTTGGTCTTTGCATGTTTTAAAGCACTGAGCAGAGCCCTACGAGCAGTGACCGCTGAGGATGCTGCCAGAGCAGAGACGGTGCCCCAGGAGACATCCCGAATCCCACAGGGATGGGATCAGCAGGAGGGATGGAGGATGTGGGCTCACCAGAGCGTTCCTCTTGGGTTTGCCATCAGCAGCCACGGAGACAGAGCGTGCCATGAGCTTGGCAGGGGAGGCACTGCTGGGCCGGCGGGACACAGGCGCTGAGAATCCCATCAGGACCAGGTCTGCACCACCAGGGCCCTGCACAGAGCAGCTGCTGCTGCGGGTGCTCTTCATGCTGCAGCAGGATTGGGGGGCCCTGGAAGCACAGTGCAGAGGGAAGTGAAGGACATGCAGCCTCAGAAACAGGTGCTCTGGCTGCTACAAACACCAGCACACAGAGCTGGAATGGTTTCCAAACGGGACGAGACACCTTCCTCGGTATTTCCACTGTCACATAACCCTGAGCACAGTCTGGAGAGGCTCCAGGGGAACTCGTCCCTGCCTGCCCCTAGCACCCAGGCTGTCCCACATCCTGCTGACCCTTTTGTGGGCTGTGATTCCAGCAGAGGGCCAAGGGATTAGCAAAAAGCCTTACTCCCCATCCCAGGCTCCTTCACTCCACACAGCCAGAGGATCCCACGAGCCCAGAACAGCCCCATATCTACGTGGCTGCCAGAGGATTCCACGAGCCCAGAACAGCCCCATATCTACAGGCTGGAGGGGGTCAGCTCACCCCACACCCTGAAGAGCTGCTGAAGGCCCACCTGGACAGCTCCTGGGGGATGCCTCCCCCACCAAGCACTCCAAATCCCTGCCAGGAAACTGTATGGAAGTGGCTGTGCCCTCTTGGTGGGCACAGGGAGGACTGAGCCTCCTTCCAGCATGTTCCCCCCTTTATCCCTCTGCAATCCCCTCCTCAGCACTGAGCCAGTAGCTGCCACTGTCCCCAGGCAAATATCACTTTATTTCCATACATTTATTCCCCAACCTGTCCCCAAATCCTGAACCTCCTCCCCTGGCAGCTCTGCCTTTCACCCCTGGGAGCTCCTCTGCAGCCCTTGGCAATGCCTTGGGCTCCACAATGCGGATAAACAAACAGCTCTCATGGAAACCACC